AAAAAAAAAAAAAACTTACCAACATTACCAAAAAATTGACAGAGTAACGATAAGGATGTAAGTAAATAACCAAGGAAAAGAATGTCAGAGTAACACTAAAATAAAAATGTATGCATAGTCAAAACAAAAGTTGAACTCTTTGTCCTTAAATTGAATTTACTCCGCAACGGTGCCTACGGATAATGACAATCAACTCTCAAGATACAACGACAATCTTCTTATATTAGTAGCACTTTAAACCACAAGAACAATGATTCGAAGTTTGGTTTGTACTCATGAAAATGAAAAAAACAGCTTTTCATACATAACTTTGGTTAGGAAAAGTTGAAGTTAATGTTATGCTATGATTGCATATCATTAGGATGAATAAATGAACGTCATAAGGGTGTAATTTATAGAGGAGGAAGGGTCGTAGCTTTTACTGTTGCTAGCCTATCACCCTTGCATCGCTCGAGTGTTAGGAATAGAGACTCTATCGCTCGCTTGTTGCTCGAGCGTCGGAGTTGGACAAATTTTCAGCAAATTTTCTTCTAATTTTATACTGTAATTTCTCATTCACCCGGATTGATTTGAAGATTCCAAATAACTACGACGATCTACTAAACGAGTAGAATAAGTGAGTCTATTTATTTTCATAATTTGACTATTAGATCAAGTCCGAATATTTGGTCAAATTTGACACAAAAGTCACTTTTTCATGATTTTATACTTATTCAATTCCAATAATCTCCCACATGAATGAAAATTTCACAATATGCAATCCAAAAATGCGAATGATATGCAGACTCTAAAAGGAGTACAAATGACAAGCTATAGTATCAAGATATGTGGCTTGTGACTTTGACCCTTTCTTAGCTGAATACAATCGAATTTACTAAGCTAATTAGTGAACGCAGTGTTTTGAAGTATTCAGCAGTTCGTGTAAATCAAAACAACTTTACCAATAACATAACTCATCTAACCATTTTGATTCTCATGGTTGTGCTCATTTTGGCACTGAACAACTCTTGATTTCATAAGTGCTTTAAGAGAGTTTAAGCCTCAAATTCTTGTAGAAGTGGTATCACTTCACACTTATATAGGTGATCTCCTATAGTATTGTATCATACATTTCTTGTCTTCTTTCAAGATATAGGAATCATTAAAAATATACACTTATCCTTATACACTTGTTATTTTAGTACTTTAGGTTTATAGGAATGTGAGTAAGTGTTTTACATTGAATCTTTCATAATTTAGTTGTTCCATTGAACCAAGATCTTGGGATCTCCAATTACAAGGTTGGATTTCCGCTATATTGATTTCATTCAATATGTTTTAGGCCCGGAAAGATGGTATACTTGATCTCTAGTTGGTCCTTTCATCAAAGGATCTCCTAGTTTTCCCTTGATTTAATATAGTTAATCGATATTATACCATTCGATATCAACTGTTTAATGTGTTTTTGACGAATATGTCGAGATTTACCATTATACATACTATTTTGTACCATTTCAATTGCCGGTTGATTATTACAATATATATTAATCATGGAATATCCTCGAGAAAATCTTGAAGTCATTTCGCTTCTTCTCTGATTTTATCTAATGTAAGAAACTAGATTTCATCGTGGATCGAGATATACAAGTTTACTTAGATGATTTTTCAGGACACAACTCCGACTCCATTGGTAAACACATAACCACTTGTAGATTTTGAATCCTTTGTGTCAAACATCCAATTTGCATAAGTATATCCTTCTAACACTACAGGATATCTTGAATAGTATAATTCATAGTTAATCGTGTGTATTAAGCATTTAAGAACTCGATTTAATGCTTTCCAATGGTCATTACTTGGATTACTTGTAAATCTACTCAACTTGTTGACTGCATATGCTATATCATGACGCGTGAATCACTAGTAATTTTGGCTTAGTTTAAACCTAATTCTACTAGTATTTTAGCTGATTTATCGTCATACTTCTTAAAATTCTTAAGTATAGCCTCATTATAGTGTGATTGAGATAATTACAAATCGTTAAATGCTTTAGAGATTTTAATCCCTTATATCACGTTAGATTCTCCTGTATCTTTTATGTCAAAATGCTTTATCAACGTTTTCTTGGTCGAGGTAATAATGTTCGAATTATTTCTTATGATTAGCATATCATCAACATATAGACATATGATCACGTATCCATTAGGCGTGGTTTTAATGTAAACACATTTGTCACATTCATTAATTTTGAAACCGTTTGACAATATAACTTTTTCAATTACACACATTATTCTCATTTTTGGGAGCAACAAAACCTTTAGGTTGTTCCATATATATTTCTTTTTCTAAATCACTATTCAGAAATGCAGTCTTAACATCCATTTGATGTATTTCAAGATTATACAACGCATCAATTGCAATCAATACACATATAGACGTGATCCTTGTAACAGGTGAATATGTATCGATGAAATCTAGTCCTTCCTTTTATTTATATCCTTTGGCTACTAGTCTTGTCTTATATTTGTCTATTGATCCATCTGACTTCAAATTTTTTTTTTCGAAAATCCATTAATAGCCTAAAGCTTTGTTTCCCGAAGGAAGTTCAACCAATTCCCAAATATGGTTATTCATGATGGATTCAATTTTATTATTAACCGCTTCTTTCCAAAAGGAGCTTCGAGAGTGAACATTGATTCGTTAAACGTTCTTCGATAATTTTCTTGTAGATATGTTGCAAAATCTGGACCAAAGGTCTTATGAATCATTTGCCTTTTACTTCACCTTGGTTCTTCATCTACTTCATAATTACTATATTCTTGATAGTTTTCAATTGCAGTATCGTAAGTTCGTTTGTATGAGCTTACTTCTTTTTCTTTATAAGAAAATATATTTTCAAAGAATACAACATTCCTTGATTCAATGATAGTATCTATATGTACATCAAGTATTTCAGATTTATGAACCAAAAATCGATATGCACTACTATTGTTTGCATATCCGATAAAGACAATCAATTGTGTTAAGTCAAATGTTTACTTGTTTAGATTTAGGTATTTGTACCTTTACCAAACACACCCACACTTTAATATATTTGTAAGAGGGTTTTCGACATTTTTATAACTCATAATGTGACTCATTCTTACTCTTATGTAGTATTTTATTAAGGATATGATTTGTCGAAAGTATAGCTTCCCCCTCACAAGTTTTGAGGATAGCCTGAATTAATTAAAATTGAATTCATAATTTTCTTAAGTGTTCGATTTTTGCGTTCAGTAACACCATTATATTGAGGTGAGTATGATGTTATTGTTTGATAAATAATTCCAAATTCTGGACAAAATTATTCAAATGGTGCAACATATTCTCCACCTCGATCACTACAAATCGCCTTTATCATTTTTCCAAGTGGACTTTCAACTTCAATTTTATAATGTTTAAACACTTCCAAAACTTCATATTTAATTTTCAACAAGTATACATAATAGTATCATATACAATTATCTATGAACATGATAAAATACTTTTAACCACATTTTGTTTGGACGTACTTTAAGTCACATATATCGGTGTGAATAAGTTCCAAATGCTCTATGCTATGTTCGACCTAATGAAACGGCGCTTTGGATAACTTAGCCTCTACACAAATTTTGCATTTTTCATTTGTAGTAAAATGCATACTCGATAGTAAATTTAAATTCATTAGTTTGCGTATAGAATTAAAATTACATGTCCTAATTAATGGTGCCATAAATTAGACGAATCAAGAATAGAAGCAAAAGAAGATATATTATTCTTTGAGTTATTCGGTAGAATGGAAATTCCATTTATCTTGAATAGTCTATCTTTTACATAGTCTTTTCCTACATACATATTATTCTTAGTAAGTGTAAACTTGTCCGAGGTAAAGACTAGTTTAAACCCATTCTTACTAAACGTAGAACCCGACACTAAGTTCTTGAGAATATCAGGCACATGAAGAACATTATTAAGGCTAAGTCCCTTGCTCGATGTCATATTCAAAATAACTTTGCCTTGTTTTTCATCCTTTGAACTTGAAGAGTTTCACATGAACAAGTTCTCACCATCGATCGAAGTGTAGGATGCGAACATTCCTTTGTTGGCACAAATATGACGGGTAGCACCCGTATCCACCCATCATTCCATGGGATTTCCAACATTGTTGCATTATGAAATAACGGCTGACAAATTTATATTTGATATACCATTAAATATTGAATCAGATTCGATAATATTCAACTGGGATTGCTGTTTAGGTTTACGACAATCAATAGAGCGGTGTCCAACATTT